AAATATCGTGAATTTTTTTTGAACTAAGGTAGCATCCTTTAATGCTTTAATGTTTGAGATTCCCTGTTTAATAAATATACCTGAATAAAAAATTAAAAACTAAAACAATAAAAACTCTTTCGAATATGCAATAACAATAAAATAAGTAAAAAAAAATAAAACCATAAAGGTAAGAAAAAATCAATTGAAAAAAAAAAGTTGGTTAAAATTTCATTTTATAGCTTAATGATTAAGAACAATTACCTTAAAAAATTAAATTCCCTAAACGATTTTAAGCGCGAAATTTTTGTTTTATGATGAATGCAAATTGTAAATATAAGTTTATTTGTTAGTGAATGGTCTTTCTTATATAATGAGTGGTGTCGATCTGTCCTGTTATCTGGAGCAGTGACAGCCTGTAAGACTGTTCTACTAAAAAAAATCTAAGATATGTTTTAATAAATGCCCCTTCTCAGCAAACCACTTCCAGATATGTCCCCATGTTTCACCAAATAGACACTTACCTAGCTTAATGAGTTCTAGACCTATTTCCCCATGTATGTTTAACACCTTTCTAGACCCATCCGCAAGGTAACAAACTCAGTCGTTCAGTCTTATCCTTCAGAATAGCCTGTTCTAGAAAAAAAAAGTCTAGCTTTATTAGTTTTAAATATACTCCCCCAGTTTAAACCAATTTAAGACCCACCCCATCTTATCCATTTAAGAACATAATCTACTAACAGGTAAAAGCTATTCTGGAACCAATCCCCAGTTTCAAGTATTGCTTGAACCTAAAGACCCGACCCCTATGTTAACCTAGTTTTATGTTTTAGACATTACACACAAGGTCAAGTAATGTCCTGACCTTCCCCTGAGTTATCTTTTTCTAAAAACTAACCACGCGCATGTCAAGTATGTCCTGAATCTATCCCGTAGGGGGGGTTAAGCCAGTTCTATGCCTAATCCCCCTGTCAAGTATGATACTAACATTTTCCCCTACCGTAACCAGTTCTACAAACCTTTCCCTAAAGATCAAGTAACGTCTGACCTTTCCCCTTAAGTTAACCAGTTCTACTCCTTTTTCCCAGGTAAAGTATGTCCTGACCTACCCCCAACGTTAAACAGTTCTAGACCTATCCCCACGGTCATGTATGTTCTTACGAATCCCTAACGTCAAGCAGTTTTATACCAATCACCCAGGATCAAGTACGTTTCTGAACCTTTTCTCTAAGTTAACCAGTTCTACATGTATTACCCAAGGTTAAGTATGTCCCTGACCTATCCCCTAACGGTAACCAGTTATTGCACCTATCACCCATGTGAAAGTATGTTCCTGACCTATCTCCAGCGTTAACCCAGTTCAAGACAAATCCTCCAGGTCAAGTATGTTATGAACTATCTCCTATGTTTTAACCAGTTTCTACGTTAAAACCAGTTCTAGACCTATTTTCCCGAGGCCAAATATTGTCATGAAACCTAATCCCTTGAGTTAACCAATTCATAGACCTGATCTCCCAGGTCAAGCAATGGTCCTGGACCTATCCCCTAACGTTAACCATTTTGTAGACCCCCTTTCCCCATTGGTCAAGTATGTATGGCCTACCCCTAACGTTAACCAAATTCATATAACATATCCCGAAGTTCAAGTATGTCCTGACCTTATCCCATATGTTAAAAACCATTTCTAGGACAACTTTCTAGGTCAAGTATGGCCTGACCTTTTCCCTACGTTAACGAGTTGAAGACCTATCCCAGGTCAAAAGTATGTCATGATCAATCCCCTTCGTTAACCCCAGTCTAAACCTATCCCTCAGGTTTGTTTTGTCCTGACTTAATCCTTAACGTAAACCAGTTCTACAAACCTATCCCTCAGGTCAAGTAAATTTCCTGGCCTACCCCCTACGTTTAACCAGTTCGTAGACATATTTCTCCCAAGTTGTTCAAGTTCCAAACATATTTCATAGGTAAAACAGTTCTTGGCATGTACCCTTAGGTCCAAACAGTTCCTGAACTATCTCCTAGGTTAACCAGTTCTAAACGTTCCATCAGCTTAACCTGTGCTAGACATATCCTATAACCTTTTTACTGGATATAATCATTTCTTTGCATATAAATTATAAGACTACCCCGTTTTTTTTTATTTGTTTGGGTCGTCAGACCAAACAAATAATGGTAGCAAAAATTTCAGACTCTAATGCTGTTAATTGCAAATGCCGAAAGTAGTCCGCTTTTTTGAAGCGGTTACTTCCCTTTATAAGTAACACAAAGGCCGAAAAATTCAGGGGAGATCACTGCGTAAATATGGTCACATGACAGGCGCATTAATTTTCAAGCAAAATAATTCCCGAATGGTCGAAGATTTCTAATATTGTTTTATTCTTTAAAGAAATACATGCTTATAGTAAGCGCCATGATTATTTAGACAAGTTAGCGTCGTTACAAACCCTAATTTAAAATAATATGGTTTTCTTCAGGCCGTTAATATATAAATTCGCCGTGGCCGAGGGGTTTGCGCATTCGCTTTGGAAGCGAGAGGTCTCGAGTTCAAATCCCAGTTAAGCAACTCATTTTTTTCAAATTGTTTAAGTCAAATAAACATTGGATTGAATATCAGTGTTGCAATTAGTCTTATAGCCAATCGACTACTATTAAAACGCTGGAAAGCATTGGTGGCACTATACAAAAACAAAATTTTAATTGTTTTATAATCTCACAACCTTCACCTTTCTGACATTCTGAGACCCAAACAAATTCAGCGCCTTCTGTGCTTTGATTTGGCTTGTAGCCATTTCATTTGGAAAACTTGTTCCGGTTAGGTGGTTTCCTGCTTACATCTGTTGGTGCATGATTGAACGGGAAACCAGCTGCAATCGTGCCAATCGCAACTTTTCAGCCTTTTCCGTCACTCTTCGGATTAATGATAATAGCCGATGTAGTTCCGATTGCATACTGCGGAATCAGACGAAGTAATATTACGGAAATCTAAGCTATTTTAGTGACTTCGGTAATCCCAGTTTGTTTATATAAATAGGATTTCTATTTTTACTTGATTTATCGGTTTAAACAGTAATAAATTATAAACGAAATTGTTCCGTTTCAATTGTTTTTCAAGACGCAAAAGTTAGTTTCTTTTATAATTGTTTTTTGTATTAGTTTTATACAATAGAGAATGGTGACTGTATTAGTATTCCGTCTTCAAAGGGTGGTCCTGCTTACCAAATCACGCATGATCGAGTTATATTTAGATCTACTGAACGCAATTCAACTTCTTGGTGAGGTAATCTTAAAAAAGCCCATGCATATCATTAACCTTGCCACGTGCTGATCTACAGATAGCGCATCGTCTATTTGTGATCGTGTAACATAGTTGATACATTACCACGTAACGAAGTATTTTAATGCATTTACTTGTCTATAAAGCAAAGGAATGATTTCGCTGCGAAAAAGGGGAAATGAAATGTGCACACTTGTTTTCCTTCAGTATCACGTTAGTATTTTTACGATTGATCATTTTCTTTATTAGTTTTATACAATAGAGAATAGATTTCAAATCGTTTTGACAAAAAATATTCGGTTTTCCAAAAAAAAAAACCAACTAAATAAACCCTTTATGATATACAAATACCGTAATTCAAAAAAAAAAATGATACTAAATTGAAACCAAAAAAAAAAAAAATTTTAAAGGGTTGGAATGAAGGCACAACTGTGCAAGCCTTTCCTTTTAAAAGGAAACTTTATTTGAATATGTGATTAATTATGAAAAAGTAAATTAGTGAGCACATCTGCGAGGGATATAAGGTTCCACATACGAGGGGGATATGTTTCACATACGACCAATATTAAATTATTAAGTTACACATAGGAAAAATTGCTTGTCACTTGGGTTCAAACCATGTCAAGGGCAGCCGTTGATTCCATGAGCAAGAAACTTTACATTTGTTGCTTATTACAGGCAGCCTGGCACATTCTGAAGTGTTTCTATAAGCTTATAGCTTCCAACACAATCGAACTAAAATCATGTTATATAATTTTAGACTTCACATACGACAGATGCTTACAGATAGACATTGCTTTTGACCTCCTGTAGTCAAGGTCACTGTGCCTAAAAATATAATAATGGTTTCCAGGAAAGCGATAGTGTAATCAGACTGGTATGTAGCAAGATTATGAAGAGGCCTAGCTTAAGATTGCTTATGGACCCCTAGGTTTAATGTTAAGTTGACTGTTATTAAGAGTAGAAAGATTGTTTCTTGTCAATTCTTAAACAATAACTGTAAACAGATAACTCTTTTAACAAGGCATTTAATTGTTATAATTATTGGTACAAATATGAAACATCATAGAATTAAGGTAGAGTAAAAAGTTTGCTTTAAACCTCTAGTCTTGTTTTACACAAAATTAACGTGGCGGTTGCGGTATGAATTATCTCGTACTTGATTTTTTTGGCTCAGTAGATCTACTGTTCAAGTATCAATTCTTTCATTTTTGAATAATTATACCAGTACTTTTATATATTCAACATATTTTGCAAAACACACGCACTGTCAAACGATATCATATTATATTGACAGTTTAAGATAAAATAAATAGATCTAGATCTGGATTAAACAAGATTTACACTTCCTCTTCCAGAAACTATGTTGTCATTTTACGAAAACAAAAATACTGACCGGTAAAACTTTTTGAGATCTCTACTCTGACCTTTTATTTGAATAACAATAGATTTAACCACAAACATGGAAATGTGTTCTTAGGAAAAAGTATGTGGTGAAATTATTATTGTTACCCACTAATCTGATAATTCAAATTGAACAGATTACGGTCATACAGGGATCCATGCATAGATCTTATGTCAGTACCAGTACTGGGTTACAAACAGAGTGACTCAAGTACTTGCAAAATGACAACAGTACCAGAAATGCATTTCCTAAATCGTTTTACAACATTGCTTTTAATGAACAATTTTGTTATGACCAAGTTTACTGAAAAAATTGCTTATTGTGTAAAGTAATTGTTAAAAACCTTTGGGCACCATCTGTACACACTATCTAATGACGTCACGTGTTTGTGTTTGTTGTGTTTTTGCTGAAGAATGACCTACCGATGAAGGTGAGTGTTTTACAATATATAATCTACTGTACATAATAAACAATGTTATGTGAAAAACACATACAATATATTATTTCGATAATTCTTAACTTAAACAAAGAAAATAAAACAGTCGGATGAGAAGGCTACTGCTGTAGCTGGCTATTTAGTTGTCAAAAATCATGACGACATAATTTTCAAAAAATACAGAACATGAAACTGCGGTACAGACTACAGTACAGTACAGTTTGCTTGCAGGTGAGGAAGTTATGTGTAACTTAAAACTTAAGAACATTGTAAAAGAATTTTAACAAAACATAAAACGTTCTAGCTCTACTGTAGTTTTAGATCTAATAGATGATCTATTCACTCGGGTTTTTTTTACTGATTTACCAATAAACTTTAAAAATTCTACTGGTTTCCTTGCAGTTTCCGGCCCTAGCAGGTTTTCCGGCACTTTATCATTTTCCTCCAGCACTATTCGGTACTGTATTCAATATTTTATGGTACTCAACTGTATGCAATATCTTTTAAAAGCCTCCATCTCCCGCCCTTCCCTAAACCCACGCACTTTTGAAGTATCAACTTGAAACTTTACATACTGTATGGACAGTCTAAAATATTCAGGCAAAATATTGTAGTTAGGGACCTATTGCCTTTTGTCATTGAATATTTCACATTTGTCCGTGCATAACTCAAAAGGTATAAAACATTATACTATAGATAGATCTACCCACGGTCTTTCAAATTATTATTTGAAAGACCCTGATCTACTGTACTGTAGGTCTACAGTTAAAAGATTTGTTCAAGTAGCCTATAAAAACACCATGAGTTTTTCTTTTTTGCATAATTTTGGAGTAATTGCCCTTTGTAATTTTTTAGACTCCGCTGTCTTTTTGTCGGGGGCATATCTGAAAAAGTATCATTTTGAAGATATCAACTTGAAACTTCACAGATTGATAAACCTCATAATGAGAAATTGCAGAACATCTATTATAAATATATAGTAGTAAGAAATTCTCCCCTCTGTAATTATTATACTTGAACTTATTAAGGATCTGGAAAAAGGTGATCGTTAAGCAATATTGAAGTGTTTAGATATCACAAATTTCTCGTTTGCATAGTTCTGGAATAATTGCCCTTTGTAATTGTTTCACAAGTGATTTTGTCCTGGACATTACTCAAGCAGTATACCACTATTATTCCAGGTATAACAACACATTTTATTGTAAAACTTAAGAGAACGTAATTCCTTGCTTTTTTATATCATTTTATTTTGGAGCTGTAAGTTTTTCGTACCCATTGTTGCCCAAAGCATAACATTAAAATATTTTCTTAAAACATCACAGATTGATAGATCTTTTTAGAACCGTTACTCCCTGATATATAATAAGTCATTGCCGTATGTAATATTTATTTGGTCATACTTGATAAACAAATAAAAACTTACTGAGTTTAAAGATTTCATTTGAGTGTCGATTGTTATGAGATATACATCGGAAAGATTCCACTTTCTTTTGATGTACTTTTTATAGACTATTATGTATACTGAATAAACTGTGACTAAATTCGGGATCCCTCCTATTATCAAAAGAAGACATCAAAGTTACGTGGTATGCGCACACTGAGGCAATATAACTATATAAACAATTCTTTAATTAATTACAAACTAGGCAAAACTAATAAGATCTTATTGTTTTAGAGAAACTGTCTACTAATAGAGAAAATGAATATTAAGCAACATGATGGAGCCCTGTTATACGTTGTCATCTGTAGACGATCTTGTTAAGACTATCTGCAGGATGCCGGGGATATTGACAATGGTTTTAATACAATTCTTGACCACGAAGCTCGCAGAATCATGTAAGATATATGTTTGATTAGTGTTATTCATTAAACAGTCATTTATAACAGTTCAGCTCTTTTTACACATGGCTAGTCAGTTTCGGTAAGAAAAGCAAAAAGTGACTTAATTATAAAATAAAATTATAAAATATGTTTCCAGGGAGTCTTATGTTTTCAGTTTTGTCTTCTTTTTGGAAGTTTTGAGAGAGTTGTTCTATGTTGTATTAGTTTATTATTATATCACATAACAGTGAAAATATAATATAGCAACGTCGAATATCTAATCAACGATAATTCTAGGACGCTTGCCTTTTTTCTTTTTAATGTTCGTTTCGCCTGAGTTATTACATAAGGGCAATTTGCTTCTAGCCAGTCTAAGTAATCCAGACGACACATAAATTAACACTTCGATCAAAATGCCTTCTAGACATGGCAAAAATAAGAAGGAGGTATGGTTAATTTATATTGCTTTCAGTTTTATAATTATTTTTTCAGGCCTTGAAATAGATGCTATAAATTCATGTGAAAGGGTATATAACATGGAGGGCATAGAGGAAGCTTGTATCAGATACAAAGGCGGGAAATCACTGGGGCGTTGTTCAATTGGATTTGATAATATCGACCCACGTACTGAAATATGTATCGTTCCAGAAAGGATAAAACTAAGCTGTTATTCTAACGTGAAATATTACAAGGACTTTCCGCACGAATTCTTTACAGAGGTATGATATCAAGTTACATTTATTAACAAATATAGATATATCGTAAAAAATATGTAATAACTGAAGATGAAACAATACTGTAAAGACAGTATTAGTTCAAATTAAAGCAAACGTAAGGATACAAATGATTTTCCTTAAAATTATGCGATGGCAGTGTCTGAACCACATTTACAAAGAATAAAAAACAATAACAAAAAAATACGGGATGTATTATTACCTCCACTTTAAATGTCAAAGTTCCGTCTGACATCAATAACAATTTTAAAGATACAACTCTTTAAAATGTACATATTAAAATCAAAGCAAATGTTAAAATAAGCTTTAACATCAAGTAACATTATATCAAAATGTTTAAATTAACAATTAAAGAACTATATCAGTGTCTTTTTTGTAATAAAATGATCTCCTTATAAAAGCAATATTTCACTATTTTTGCTACATATAGACCTTTTTTACGACGCGGTCCGTTGCTATAAAAAATCGACCGGAATTAGAATTTTCTCGCGCATGCGCAATCTGCGTAGGGCAAAAAATACTTCGCCCTACATAGAAATATAGTAGAAGTTCATAGACAATTCCGAGTTAGTTCAAGGTAAACGGTAGAAAATTATATAGAATAGCTTTCAACAAATATAGAAAAGATGACTTTATAGCTTTGTGGCGAAAAATGCCATAAAAGGCATGGAAAAGATACTTGTTTAAGAATTTGCGATCACGGACCTGACACTGAGATCTTTTTTTAAAGAAGATGTTGAAATATATCTATTAGCAAATGAAAAGTCAACTTATTTGCTGTTGAAATAGTTCATTTAAAAACAAAAGAAATTATATAACATGAAATCGAGATTAATTATCATTCAGAAAAAAATATCAGAACAGGTGATAATGCATTTTTAGTGTTCAATATTATACAATTATTGACTAGTGAGCCATTGAATATTATATAAATAACACATGGGTTTGTGGGTAACAGTAAAAATATCATCCCGAGGAAAATACTGTTACCCGAGGGTAACAGTATTTATACGAGGGATGATATTTTTACTGTTACCCACAAACCCATGTGTTATTTATTTTATTACCCCGAACAAATACTGTGATGATCTGAATTTGGCAACTAAATCTAACTGTAACAAAAATAAAAAAATAAGCCAAGACAAGTAATAACTAAACTGTCCTTACCTTGCACTTGTTTTAAGTGCACTGTAGGCCTACTTGAGAAGCTGTTTTTCATTTATTTTTTAGGCAAGTGATGATATCTACCAGTCATAAACATGTAATAAGTTGTGTTTTATTCAGAAAACAAAACACTAACCAATTTATAAGGTTATGATCTGTAAAATCTGATCCTTCTGCATCCAGAATATTCTTCGCATGGTTTTTGACAAAGTGCATTTAGAAAATAACGATGATATCCTACAGATGTCTGTCCACCAACTCTATCTGTAACGTTTCACTGGTTAAAATTGTTAAATTATCCTTTGTTGCATGCTTTAATTGTCTGCATGATCCAGTTTGACACAAAATTATTTACATTACAATTACTTCCGTTGAAAACGGATGTTTCCTGTTGAGTATTCAACAAAAAGATATTTAATACGCGAAAGGGACTCTAGGGTGCAAAGAACTAAATTTTATCAGAGTAATAGTTACTTCGGCGATGCCCTATCGTTGAAAATAAGAATGAATCGAGAGAAAAAATGGCGGCCATTTTATTTCATTTTATTTAGAAAATAGACCACGTGACCAGATTTTTTACTGTTAAAAAATACTGTTACCTATGTAACAGTACAAAATTCGTAGTCACGTGGTACACTTGCATTAACAGTAAGAATAACTCCCAGATGCCTATGGGAATTTAGCATTACGAAAAAAATGAGGGGTAATAAGATATTCACCGGCAGATGACATATTATCACATCATATTCAATGGCTCACTAGTCAATAATTGTTTTATTATATGAATAGGCTAAGCATTAAAAAAAATCACGAAAAAGTACAACCTTATTCTATACATGTACATATTTTGCCTCGTTGAAGCGCGGGAAAAAAGACGCACGTGTTAGGCGTGCAACGACTACCGTACGAGAACGCTGCGCATACAAAAGTAATTCAAGTTTATACTCATCGATGCGGTTTAGCCTTTAAGTATAACAGTAAAGTAATGATATTTCAATCGAGAAATATGCCATAAAGAACAAAACGCAACAATTATTTTTTAATTAACACACGTAATTAACATTCTAAGGTGTATGGTCATTGAATATGAGTCTCAATCTATATTTAGACTTGGAAAATCCAATTCAGCCAGTTAATATGATACTACACCCAGTGAATATGATTTTATAAAAAGTTATGTTGACTACAGTTTGGACCAATCAGATTGCAGCTATTTTTAGATCATATAATAAACCTGATTATATCCTTTATCCGATTTGCCTGTGATGCAAACTGAAAAATTTAAGTCACATAAATAGATTTTAAATAATTATTTTTTTTCTCAAAATCTTGAGAAGTTAAGATGGGTTGTTTGGTAAAGATATTATACACATTTTATCCTCTTCTTCGTTATACATGTTATTTTTAATAATGCACGTCACACAATTTTTCTCTTCTCAAAATCCATAAACATTGATCGGTATATTTAAAAGTTACATAAATTACTATTTTAATAAGCGTAAATGATTAACTATATCATGATATTTAAACGTCCCGGTTGAATGAACAAACGTTCGCGTGCCAATCTGTTTGACACTTGCCGCCTGACCAATTCAATTCAATGTTTATTTGGCTTTAACATTATACAATGTTTATCGCCAATACATATAGTATTTTGGCGGCACAAGACAAAACAATACATATTTTGAACATGAGAAAAGCATGATAATAACAATTATATACTTTGAACATAAAAACATATAAATTATCTATGACATTATAACACAGGTTACACAATACATAAATTATTTATAATCATCCTCTTAAAGAAAATGATTGGTATATATATTTAGCTAGCTTAATAATAGTACTGCTTTGAGAGCTGTTAAGAAGATTTTTAAACTTGAATAAAGTAGGCCAATGACAATAATAATTTGGCAAACATTTGATACGTAATTCTCTATAAAACGGACAAACTAAGAGGAAGTGATATTCATTTTCAATTACATTCATATTACATTTGGTACAAATTCTTTCTATATTTCTTTGTCTTCCTTCTTCTATAAGTAAGTTATGTGCAGAGCATCTAAATCTGGTCAAACTAATTCTATGATTTTTGTTCTTAACACAAGAAATATATTTTTCTGGTTCAAAATCTGTTTTCAGTAAACAATACGTTTCAAGTTTAGGTTGAGTTCTAAGATCAGAAAACCATTGTCATATATGCATTGTATTACATTTTGAATTTGCATATTAGACAAAGAAACATTATTCCATAGATATGTAAATCCAGTATCATCTAATATTTTTTAAAAAATTTTCGATCACATACATATATGATTGCCATGTCTATCACGCATATTAAATAATTTGTACATAATTGAATCTGGATTTTTCGAAATTTTATACCAGTATCCGATAATTCTTATCTTACGTATAATAATCATAGGGAATCTACCTAATTCCCCGTATATTGTAGCATTGGGTGTTTGTTGTCTTACTTGCAATATTTGTTTCATGAATTTCATATGCAGCCGTTCTATATCCGGGGCCTTATGAAACCCCCCCATATTTCACATCCATAGTTCATAATAGAAGCAATCATGGAATCAAACAACTTAATTTTTTCCGATACAGTCAACGATACAATATCAAATAATGAAGCAAGAGAAAACAGGGCTTTCATTGCCTGTTGTGATAAAGATTTTTGAGCCTGTAAAAAGCAACCATTGGAAGATAATGTAACTCCAAGATATGTAAAGTTTGTGACAATATTAAGTTTACAATTATCATAGAATAAATGTATATTTCTGGTCTGTTGCCCTTTATTAAAACCATAACAACTGTTTTATCTATATTAACACTTATCCCCAATCTGTACAATATGCATGTAAGTTATTTAAAATATTCTGAAGACCATCTCTAGAATACGACATTAAAACAGTGTCATCTGCAAGTAACAATAAATACATTCTAATTTCATCAATACAAAAAAGAATCTATGGTATTATCATATATACAATGTTGTATAACATTAATGAAAAATAAGAATTAGCAAGGGCGATAAAGGTTCGCCTTGCTTAACTCCCTTTATAGTATCAAATTTTTCAGTATAATGGCCATTAAACACGAACACAACATTTTACTTGTTCATTATATCTTTGTAACATCTTGACTATTAATCTAGAGGAAGCACCACACTGTAACAATTTAACCATATACCATTTCCTGTAAACCATATCAAACGCTTTTTCGAAATTCTACGAAAGCACAATAAAGTTTTTTCTTTCTCATGTGAAGATAACTCTTTTCTATTATGGATGTTAAAACAAATTATACAGTCGAAACCGTAGCTTTTGGGTTCTTCCTAAAAACCAAATTGGCAAATTCGGACAATAAATTCATTTGATTGCGGCGCCCATTATACCGAAGGAACGTGTGTGTATTTAAAAAGAGTAAGAAAAATATCTTAGAAAAAAATGCTAGAAGAGTAATATTCCTCTATAATTAATTCACATTATTGCTTTTGATCTTCTTTTTAAGGAACTAAGACAATTACAAAATACACCTTTAGTCCAGCTTTTCTGGGTAAATACAATTGATATACATATGGTTAAAAGTTTACCCACAATTAACGGTGCAAGTATATCGTTGCATTCAATAAACCATTTCCTGGAATAAGGCAGTCAATACCTTGCGCTTTTTCTTCGTTTTAACTCTGAAATAGCTTGTAAAACTTCTTCAACAGTAAACAAAATGTCAAGTTGTTCTACATTATTAATATTTTTATCATTAGACAAATCATTCTCAACATTTTCATTACAGAAATTATTATCACCAGA